AGGGAATGCTCAGATTCTCGAAAAGGGTGGATACACGGCGTTCACACCTCACTATGTCACATGGTACTGCTTTGAGCCTTTTAGTAAGAGCAGCCAATGCCAGTCCCAGTGCATAAATCACGGCAGGTACTGTGCTCCTGATCCAGAGCAGGATTTTCAGAAAGGGTATGAAGGCAGGGATGTAGTGCTGGAGAACTTGAGGCAGCTTTGCGTGCACAGGGTTGCCAATGAGACTGGAAAGTCCTGGGTTTGGTGGGATTACGTCACAGATTTCCACATCCGGTGTTCCATGAAGGACAAGAAATATAGCAAAGAATGTGCAGAAGGAGTCTTGAAATCTCTCAGTAAGTCTCTATTTCTTACTGAATTTGGTATTTGATTGGAGTAAGTCATAGCATTTATGCCAAAAAATGTTAAAAATATTGAATCCCATCAGTTATCTAGTTCAGCTCAGTCTTTTTAACTCATCTATTTCCTCAGGGGCTTCAATTTTTTATATCTAATTATACATCTTCAATCTGTGTGTGTTTCTTCTTTTTGGGTTACCTTATCATCAGACCTGCCTATGGAAAAGATGGCAAAGTGCATGGGTGATCCTGAAGCTGATGCCGACAATCCACTCCTAAAAGCTGAGCAAGAACATCAGGTTCACAATTTATTTTTGTAAAGCATTAAAGTACAAGCTTAATTTTTTTCTATGCTTAAGTATTCTTCACTGTCAACATTTATTACACACACAAAACAAAGATTTACTGTGTTCTTTAGATCTTTCAATTATTTCTCTTGCGCCAGATTCATTTAATTTCAAGCTGCAAAAGCTAATAAGAGTTCTATATATTTCTGTTTTGTTTGCCTCAGATCGGTCAAGGGACTCGTGGAGATGTTATTATGTTGCCCACCATGGTCATAAATAATGTCCAATACAGAGGTTGGTTTTATAAGTTTTATGTATGTTTGTATGTATGTATATAAGTTTGTTTGTTTGTATGTATGTATGTGTTTACATGTATATGCATGTCTGTATATAATTATATATCCTATTTGTTTTGCTGTATATGCATATCATAAACACATATTGTTCAAAAGCAGCATTTATCCGTACTTTTTTATAATGTATATGAAAATTTCCATAAAAATGACATGTATTATCTCTTGTCTACACTTTTATGTTTATTGCACTTACATGCATATGCTTTTGTATGGGTGCTCATCAAATCCCATCTACTGCTTCAATAAGGTAAACTTGAGAGGACTGCTGTGCTCAAAGCAATTTGTGCTGGGTTTAAAGAAACAAGTGAACCTGCAATCTGTCTTAACGGAGGTTAGCTTTAACTTGTCTTTTAATCAACACTGATACAATCCAATCTGACATCTAGATGGGGTGATATCTTATCAGATATGGAGACAAATGAGTGCCTTGAAAATAATGGTGGCTGCTGGCGTGACCCAAAATCTAATGCAACAGCCTGCAAGGTATTTAGCCTCAAGGGATGCTCTGGTGTGGTTTTCAGACTATCCCATTATTGCTCACGTTATCCTAATGTTATCTCAATTAAATTCTAGTGTTAACCAAAAATTGATTTTAATATCTAAAAGAGTCTGTATTACGAAAGTCCATCTAGGATGAATGATCCATTAGAAGACATGGTTTGGGGTGGGGGTAGGAAAGGGGGTTGAATTGTGCACTTTGTACATAATTTAAATTTTAAACATCACATTTAGCCTCTATGCGAAATAAGTATAACTTCAAAAACACATATCTATCCCATACCCCAATCCTCAAAAAAGCACTTGTTCAGAATTTATTTTCCTGGAAGAAGTTTTTTTAAACTTCAACTTGAATCTCGGATTAGGTGTTAGTATATATAGTACGTATGATTTGCTTGCTTCTTATTACAAATTGGTTTTGTGAAGGACACGTATAGGGGGAGAGTTTGTGAATGCCCTTCCTTGAATGGTGTTGAGTACAAAGGCGATGGATATGCATCATGTAAAGGTATAATGTCTACCTGAAATGTGAAAAATATTACTATGATAGTTAAACAATATACTAGGTACACAACAACCTATTTCAATGAAGGATTGGGGGTGTATATACCAGGGGCGGCACACTGATTCCCAGCCAATGAGGGATTGGTTTTGCACTCAACACATTAGATCTATTTGCGTTTGAATATTAGAACAACCATTGATGGGATTCACTCTTAACAATGCAATAATTGGAACTTGTATTGTTGTAACAAGCTTGACTTCTAAATTCCATAGTTATATATTGTAATAATGTTCCTCACTCATAGAAGAATGTTCAAGTGTCCAGCTATTAAACCTGCTGGTTTGTAACCAAGAACTGTTACGACTGCGAATTTTATCTCAAGTCCACAGTAGTATGACATTGTCAGCTTTAGCCACAGGCAAACAGATTTATTTTTAAGTGCCTCACAAAAACATCACGCTAATTGATTTAGGTGTCCACTTATGTTTTGTCTGTTATTTTTCCAATGTGGGACTTGAGTAGAACCCTAAGTAGAACCAGAACAAACATCCTTTCACTACCTTTAATGCCTTGCTGTAGTGTTTTGTGTGCATACTCTAAATCGTATATTTGACTATCTAAGTATGTTGCTTCTTAAATCTTCTTCTACTTTTTTCTGTTCGCAAAAGCTGTTGGTCCTGGAAGGTGCATGTTAGACAATGGTGGTTGCTGGTCAGAGACCAAACACGGAATAACTTTTTCTGCTTGCTCAGTTCGGTGTTGCTACCCATTTTTATAATCATCTCCTTTGATTTTTTTTTCTTTTCTGGATTTCATTGTTGATAATATTTTAATGCAAATAGGAAGCTCTTGTTTCTGGCTGCAAGTGTCCTAATGGCTTTCGGGGGGATGGCCATACATGCAAAGGTACTACATAATGTGTAGTGACCAGTGATGAGTCACAATAAATGTCTTTAACAATGGACATTCCGCTCTTAAAGTTGTTGCTTGTACTGTAACTAGATTCTTTTTATATTTGATTGTGTAACAGATGTGAATGAGTGTAAGGAAGGAACATCCTGCAAATGTGATGGTTGCTCTTGTACAAACACTTGGGGTGGATATGACTGCAAATGCAGATGGGATAATTTGTACATAAAGGAGCATGACATATGTATCGGTACGTTTAAGAATTATATACTCCCTCCGTCCCATTGGACTTTGCCAACTTTCCCTTTTTGGTTGTCCCAAAAAACTTTGTCACTTTTCTATTAAAGCAACTAATTTGTGGTTCTGCACATTTCTCTCTCCTCTGCATAAATCTCAACCACACAGTTTTTACTATTCTTATTTCTCACCTACTTTGCACTTGGCAAAGTCCACCGGGACGGAGGTAGTAGAATATATTCACTAATAATAAAAATAGGCTTCATGTCATTAATCTCTTGATGTTTTGTTACAGAAAATTTGTTTATATGTTGTACAGAAAGAAACTCTTCAAAAGTTGGACGGATGATCACTTTGATAGTTATAGCCGTTGCACTTTGTGCTGGTATAACTGGATACATATTTTACAAATACAGACTACGGGTATGTAAGGAAATTGTGTTTGAATCTTCAATTTCCATTTCTATAGATCATTCTGCATTGAGATGAGATGAGGACGCGACACGTAATTATTAGGTCATATCGACAGTCTAAAGTGCATTTTGTGTTTTGGCTGAAATAGTTGAATTTTCAGTAATATGGCAAATACGTTATCCGTTCGTTAATAGGTTCAACAATGCTTTAACTTTTAACTCTTTTCTCTCATCGTTAAGCATAGCCAATTCAGTATGTGGAGTCATTTGGTAAAAAAACTGCCTAATAATATAAACTTGTGCTTGCAGTCATACATGGACTCAGAGATAAAAGCTATTATGGCACAGTATATGCCACTTGACGACAATCATCACAATCGGGTTGTCCAGCATGGAACTCATGAGCCAATTCCGCAAGAAGGCTCATCTATTGCGTGAAGAATTGAAGGTTTTGGTTATGGGAATGGCAATATTCTACATTCTCCACTGCACTTTTTATTATGGCTATATAGTTTGCGTCTTAGCTTCCAGTAACGGGTGAATGTGTGATACCACAGATCGATGAGGCGGTCTGAAACCAAATTCGTCAAGCCCGAGAGGATTTTTACGTTTTAAATCAGCATTTTTTCGCGGAGGATAAACAGTGCTATGTATCATTAATAGATACGGAGTAGTATATAACAAAGAAGTGAAAGAACAGCCTTTTTGCATGCTTAACTATACCGTGATTACCATCTTTATGTGTAATATAAAGTTTATTTATGCGTTAAATTCACTGACAAAATTGCTACATAAGAGCTCAATGTTTGATAGGAGTAAAAGTGTATGAGTTGACCAGATTACCCTTGACTAAGATTTAGGTTTATTTATAGTTAAAAACGGAATAATAAATTAAAAGGCATTTCAAAACCATAAATATTATACATGATGTGCCAATACATATTTGGAAGGAATTTTGGCACGGGTTCGGAGATCCCTGTCAAAGTCGTGTTGTCACGAGCCCGTACCAAAATATGTTTCGATCCCAAACTCGATACTTCGTGCCAACTGCCAACTCAATTAAACTCGACTAACTATATGTTATATCCAAGTTGTGAAGGGCCAAGTGAATCTTGCATGAACAGGAGCGTGTATTGCTTGCTAGTTGCTACACGTTGTTCCAAAATTATGTCTTGATCTAGTAATTTAAAATTTTGAAGATAATCCTTTAAAATAACTTGCCATAAATGTTAGTTTCAATTTTAGAATCACATTTACCACGGCACCACACCACGCCAATTTGGATAAAAATGTTGAGACCAAAGTAAATCGCTTTTATGTTTGATGAACCAATTAATAATTATACTATTTTAGATAGGTTGATTTATGGTTTTTCATTGAAGATATTATATTGTACTTGTATAAATTAACCAATGAACCGGTAACAGTGCAGAGTGTATATACAGAAAAGAAAAGAGAGCAAGATTTTATCTTAAAATAAAACAGTACTATAGCAACAATGCTCTCATCATTGTACAGTGGGGGAGGAAAAAATAGTCAAACAAAGGTTGTAATATCATTATCGTTGTTGCTAATAATGATCCTCAGTTTGATGAGTGTGACCATTTCCATGGATCACCTCCAAGCTATTTGTAGCTCCACACCCTACCCAGATCTATGCTACAACAGACTAGCACCGGCCATTCTTGTCCCACCACCAATAAGAGATAGTAATGACTTTTATGGACAACTGCAAGAGGTCTACAAGTTGTCCATAGAAGTCGCAGTCAACGAGTTGTTGACCGCCTCAAATGAGTTGCTCAAACTAGAATTACGCCTCGAAAAAGTGTCCAGTCAACGAAAGTCAATTACTGCACTCAAATTGTGTCGTGAGCTCCTCTCCGTCAACGCGCTTACCAACCTTCGGCATTCTTTGGCCGTGCCGGTACCATCACCGTCAAAAGACAATCAAAGTACGACGCCCGAAACGTTTGAGGATCTCAAAACATTCCTCACCGCCGCCGGAACCTACCACCGCACATGCATTGACGCCGTCGACGATGTTAGTAACGGTGACACGGCCTTGAGAAATGTGGTTTTGCGAGTAATCACGAACTCCTCGGAGCTTACCAGCAATAGCTTAGCCATTTTGCATGACTTTGAGGTTTATGCTGAATTGACCAATGGTATGATGATGAGTAGGTCAAATGATGAGGCTCCATTAGTGTACCAAAGTAGCTATGATCAATTGACTTATGATGCGGTGGTGGCGAAAGACGGGTCAGGAAATTTCACCACAATAGGAGATGCTCTTAATGCTGCTCCAAGTAACAGTGAGAAGAGGTTTGTGATATACGTGAAAGAAGGAGTTTACAATGAGATTGTCAAAGTTGATATTGATAAGGTCAACGTTATGATGGTGGGAGACGGGATGGGTGCTACAATTGTTACCGGAAACCTCAATGCCGGTAACGGAACCCCAACGTATTATTCTGCAACATTCAGTACGTATCATAGATACATTGTCATTATATAGAGAGAGTCATTCTCCTGTTCAGCACTTTTCTGTCCGAACGCCGTCCGAACACCACCTTTTGAGGCGGTTCCCGACGGAATTTTTTGATGACATTTTTTGAGCATGTTCCTCATCAAGTCTAGTTTATCCATACCAAATTTGAGCTCAAAATTCGATCAGGAAGGCAGTCAAATAATTCGTTGAAGTTAACTGCGCCAAATTATACATAGAAAAACGCAGTTAACTTCAACGAATTATTTGACTGCCTTCCCTATCGAATTTTGAGCTGAAATTTGGTATGGATAAACAAGACTTGATGAGGAACATGCTCAAAAAATTTCATGAAAAATTTCCACCGGGAACCGCCCCAAATGGCGGTGTTCGGACGGCGTTCGGACTGGGAGGTGCTGGACCTGAGAATCATTCTCATTTCTCTCCTAAGATGGTATTCTCATTTGATCTTTACCCTATATATATATATATATATATATATTAATTTGTTAAATAATCCGTTGAATTAATCATCATCACATCTCTTACTGAAATACTTGTTTTTACTTGGTCTAGTTTCAGTCTCAGACAATACTAAAACAGATCAGAGTAGACTGAAATAGACCATACTAAGTCTGACTAGTCTTAAACTTACCACATTAGACCACATCAGGCTTTGATAATTGTAAAATACACATGAATCATACCAGGCTTGCAAATTTCAATCTAATTAAAAACATTCTTAAACAGAAGTCACAACGGTATTCACAAGTTGTGCATGTTTTCATAATAACCAACAGGCTAGGCCTTTACATTTTTAGGTACTCTATAAACATGTAAAACTTTGAATTGCTCACATATTAGATTGATAATAACACACCAAATATTTAACATTTAAAAACATGCACTATCCGATAAAAGAAAATTAAGAATGTCCTACAAAAATGAGTTAAACATGCTATTAATATGCATATTTGTTAAAGCATTTAGCTATTACCCTCATAGCTTGACTATCCATATAAGCTTTTGCACCAAAATTAAAATGTACTCCTATGGTTAGCTATAACTTTTTCCTTTTCTTTTATTATTAATAATGTTATACTCCAATGATAAGCTATTAGTTATAAAATTGCAAGCAAGTCCTCAAAAGGAACCGTTAGAGATGCTCTTATTCACTCTTATTTGGGAAATTTTCATCAACTTATTCTTTTAATAGAACTAGATAAGTTATATTTTAAGGAATAAAACATGTTTGATCCTATTTTAGAACTTTGTCTTTGTTTTAGTCTTTTACTCTTTATATGGAGCAATTTGTAATTGATTGTTTGTGTTTGTACCATGTATGAAGCTGTGTCTGGGGCAGGGTTTGTAGCAAGAGACATGGGATTTGAGAACACAGCAGGGGCAGCGATGGAGCAAGCCGTGGCATTGATGGCAAACGCAGACAAAGGAATCTTCCTCAGATGCAGAATCGCGGGATACCAAGACACGCTCCTGGCGCAAGCCTACCGCCAGCTCTTCTACGACTGCCACGTCTACGGAACCGTTGACTTTATATTCGGCTACTCCGCCGCCGTCTTCCACAACTGCCGCATCCTCGCCCGGAAGCCCCTAACGGGTCAGCAGAATGTTATCACGGCCCAGGGGAAATACGAGCCAATGGCCAAGTCCGGCTTCTCTTTTATCAACTGCTCCGTTGCACCGGCTGACGGTGAGGATCTTACCGGAGTCTCCACGTTCTTGGGCCGGCCCTGGAAGGACTATTCCACCGCTGTGTTTTCCTACACTCTAATGGAGAGTCTCATTGATCCCAAAGGTTGGGTGGCGTATTCCGGCGACACAGCTCCGGACACCATTTTTTACGGTGAGCATGTTAACACCGGCGCCGGTGCCAAGATCACGCAAAGGGTCCCTTGGAAGGGATTGCATGCAAGGCTCGGAACATCCCATGCAAACAAGTTTAGCGTCAACACCTTTATTCAGGGTTGTGATTGGGTTGTAGGGCTCGGCATTCCTTGTACATGATATATATACTTTAAATTCACGCAAATATAATTAAGCTCTACTTCAAAAAAAAATTATAAATTGTTTTTAACTTTTACTTTTTAAAAAAAGCTAAAAATGTGTTTTTTGACTAATTCTTTTATTTTAATATATTTAAAGTAATTGCCCCATATAGAACTAAAAGAGAAAAGAAAATCTCAAATAGGACCATGTATGATTTTTTTCCTAAATAAGACTATTTTATTCCTATTTGGAAACATCCGTATTTTTCATTCCATTATTACCTCTTATCTCTTTTACGCTTCCCCTGCGCACAACCACTTCCCCATTCCGCCTTCTTCCTGCACACATCTTTCCCTTTCTTCCCTGTGCTCATCGATCGACTTCACCCTAACCATCGCCGCCGCCACCAACTTCGCCTTGCGCACTAGATCGATCGACTTCTCTTTCAAGCCGCCGGCCCGCCGTTGCTGTCAATTTCGTGCGGCGCTGTCATTAAGGTTCTCCTCCTACTCTTCTTCTTCTTCTTCTTCCTCCTCCTCATCCTCTTCTTCGTCTTCTTCGATTTTCTTCTGTTTTTCTGGATTTTGAATTGAATTTTCCAATTTTCGGACTTCTATTTTGATTTTCTGGTTTCTGGTTTCTGAGTTTTAAGAAAAAATCCGATTTTCATACATTTTGGATGATTGCTTCATATTTGGCCAAGTTTATGGCAGAAGTTTGTACATTGACATCATGTTATGGCATAAAGACTCTTGTATAAATTGGTTTTTCTGATTTTTTTGTCAATAGCTTCGTTTTTCTACTTTCCGATTGTGCTAAAAATTATTCCATCATCGGCGAGGGCGGCGTCAGAATGCACCGGCAAGGGGTGGCGGCAGGCCATTTGGATCTGGCAATGGCAGTGATACTGTTAGGGTTTCAATAGTTTTTTTATTTTACATTTTTGGAATTTAAAAATTTAAAAGAGTGGCATTTTTGTCCAATTGGGCTGAAATTGGTCCTACGAAACTCAAGTTTCGTTTATAGTCCTAGATGTGCAATTAACTTCGCTATTAGTCCTATTTGAGTCATTAACTCATATATTTAAGCATTATCAAGCTAAAAAATAAAAGTATGAGCGGAAGGAGTTTAAACGGCTGTTCAGTATTTCTATTTCACGAAATAATCCTTTTTTTCCAATAACGTCTTTTTGCATTTTGAAACTACATTTTTTAAACACTTTCAATCACTTGCCATATACGAAGTACTAAGTAATTCCTAAAATTAAATCAATGCTAAAATATTGAAACAAACCCAAATACTAATATAGTCAATCCTCCATACTTAAATCGTTATGACTGTTTTGTTATATGGTGACCTGTTTATATATACTCCGTAGCAATAAAGTAACTCGAACCCTTCGAGACCCATAAGCAGTATTATATAAATTGCTCAAAGTGGGACAACAAATGTACTCCGTATATAGTTCTAAAATGGTACTCCCTCCGTTCTTTATTATCTGTCCCGCTAGCTTTGGGCACGGATTTTAATAGAAAAATAGTAAGGTAAATGTAGAATGTGTAGGCCTATATGTTTGTCCAACTTTTCTATCAAAATTTGTACTAAGATTTTGGCCACTAGACTCAAGCAAGTGTTGTCTAAGATCATATCTCAGGAACAAACAGGATTTATGGCTAACAGAGACATTGCTGATCAAATTCTTATAGCCCAGGAGATGGTTCATTGCATTGATAAAAAGATAAGAGGCTCTAATGTTATTGTCAAGCTTGACATGGCTAAGGCTTTTGACAAAGTTTCTTGCGAATTTCTATCTAATGTCATGATTTAGTTTGGTTTCTCAAATCAGCTGGTTCATCTCATTAAGAACAACCTACAAGCTACCTTTCTTTATGTACTTATTAATGGCTCCCCCATGGTTATTTCAAGCCCTTTAGAGGAGTCAAATAGGGTGATCCTCTATCCCCATTCTTGTTTATTATTGCCTCAGAGGTTTTTTCCAGAGGGTTGAAAAAGATGATGGCTGAAGGCAGAATTAAACCATTTTGGATGGGCAATCAAGGTTTTCCTATTTCACATCTAGGATTTGCTGATGATTTGCTCATTTTTCTTAATGGTGAGGCTAGATCTCTGGTGAATTTCAAGAAGTTTCTGAATGATTATCAAAAAGCCTCTGGACAGGAAATTAATTTTGATAAAAGTTCCATTTTATGTGGTAAACCAGCTTCCAGAAGGATGAATGCTATAAAAAATTTGTTGGGGATGAAGATATCCTCTTTACCTATCAAATACCTAGGGGTGAATCTGCATAAGGGTATTAACAGGTTTAATTATTGTGGACACATTATTAAGCAGTTTGAGAATAGATTAACTCCTTGGAAGCAGAAAAATCTATCTCAGGGTGGCAGGCTTATTCTTATTAAGCATGTTCTAAATTCTATTCCCTTGCATACTCTGGCCGTTAATAAATTACCTAAAAAAGTTATTAAGATCCTTAATTGTAAAATGTCTTCTTTCTTTTGGGGATCCTCTAATAACAAGAAAAAGTATCATTGGATTAGGTGGAATAAATTATGTCTACCTACTATGGAAGGGGGTTTGGGGATTAGGTCCCTTTCAGACATTGAGAAGGTTTTCACTCTTAAACTGTGGTGGAAATGGAGATCAGGAGATTCTTTATGAGTTTTTTTTTTCAAATCTAAATATAACAGAGGAAATGATATGGTACCTAGAGTGGGTGATTCATGTATCTGGAGAAGGATATGCAGTGTTCATGATCAGGCTTCAAATCTAGTATCTTGTGATGACAGTGGCTGCTTTACTGGGATGAAGAGCAAGATGGACAATTATCTTTCAAATCCGCTTTTGAAGAGGTAAGGGAGTTGGCATTCAATCATTCTATTTATCAGTATATCTGGGAAAATAAACAGGAATTGAAAGTCAAACTGCTTCAATGGAAGATAGTTAAGGGCATTATTCCTACTGCTGACACTTTAAGCAGGTTTAATATGGTTTTGAATCCATCAATTTGTCCCTTGTGTAGAAGACATAGTGACACTTTGGATCATCTATTTTTCCAGTGTCATATTGCTAGAAGGGTTTGGTAGTATTTCATAGGTATTCTTGGAATTTATATTCCACCTGGGCAGGACTATTCTTCTTTTAAATATTGGAGGCCTAAAGTAAGCACAAACACACTGGTTGGTGTTTTTATTCAAAACATTTTTGGAATTATATGTTGGTTTCTTTGGAAAACATATTCTAGTATGGTCTGGGGCACTGGGGAAGCCGGGAACACTTCTGAGCAAATTATATTCCAGATTAAGATCTACACTCAAAGCTGGGTAATTTTTTTACCCAAAACTAAGATTCGGAAGGTGGAGAGCATTTTATATGAAGAAAATCTTATATCTAGCAATTTCATGCTCAACCGTTCATCGATACAAATTCTCAAATGGCATAAGCATCATACGAAAAAGTTAAATGTGGATGCTAGCTACTTATCTGATGAAGCCTATGGGGGGGGGGGGGGGGGGGGGAATTATGCAAGACGATAACGGCAAGATGCTCTTAGCAGTGGGCTTTCCTATTGCTGCGAACTCGGCACTCGAAGCAGAATTGAAAGCCATTGTCTTCGCTACCAGGTGGATGATTGACAAAGGTTTTTCGGATTTCTTGGTTGAATCGGACAGTAAGGTGGCTTTGGAATACTTAGCGGGAAGGGAGACGAAGAGATGGAAGGGAGAGATTTAGGAAACCTCAGACCTAGCGATTAGGAAACAGGTATCCTTCTCCCATGCGTTCAGGGAGTGTAATTGGGTCGCCCATCACATGGCTTCGGCCCATTACGATCAGATCATCAACTTTGTGAGTCCAAAGTCCTTACCGGTTTTTGCGAAGAGGGCCTATTGGATGGACTTTTTTGGTATTCCATCTTTATGTTTTTAGACTTTATTGTATTTTCTACTTTGGAAGTTTTGGCCTAGTCCCCTTCCTTTTGTAATTATTTGCATCATTAATAATATTCTGGCATATGCCGGGAGTCATATGCCCCACTGATTTTGGTGGTTTACCTTCCGGCACAAAAAAAATAGCATTAATTTCGAAAAAAACTTATTGGCGAGAATATTCAAACACTTTGCGAATAAAATGCCTTAAACGATCTTCGTAAAACTAATGGTTTCATATTTCTGTGCATATTACACAATGATGAATACCAATAATACATAATTATGTAATAAATATGACCAAATTGTACAGTAATTTTATATTTACCTTTCCACAAAATAGAACTCTATGGGCACGTCACAAGAATTACGGAGTAATAGGTTAGGTCAAGAGAAAGACCAAGCGAATTAGTAGACAAAGTCAAAAAGATTATTAGAATTTAAAGAATAAAGTTTCTTTTTCGTTTTGACAATTAGACTTGTGTGTATTTTTTTTTTGAAAGGAGACTTGTGTGAATTCTAGGTAACTCGACTTTTGTTCATTCATTCGTTTATTTGCACTTTATTTACTCCGGATTAATATGTGATTAAAATAAAACCATTGGATTAAATGATTTGATAAAAATTGATTTTTTATGTAACTTTTAATCGATTATAGTAAAAGTGTAAGTTATATTTTATTTAAACTGCATTGACCACGATAATATATTACTAGTAATAGTTATACTCTCTCTCACACACATAAGAATCACTCCATTCCCTAAATTTTAATGATTACATGTTGTTCCTACAAAATAATATTAAATTTGGTGTGTTGGATTATATTATGGGACACTGAGTTGTGCATTTGGTGAAACTCAAATGTGCATTATGTGAAATTAAAATTTGCAGAATAAAAAGTAAAACTCAAATGTGAATTATTTAGGTGAAATTGAAATTAAATGTACGGAATAAAAGGTAAAAAAATGCAACTGCATCGTACCTTTTATTGTGTACATTTTAGTTTCACCTAATGCACATCTCAATTTTACATAATGCACGATTCAGCTTCACATAATGACGTTATGTTGTACCCTTTGTGCTGCACATTTCAATTACATCTAATACACAATTTAGTTTTAGCTAATTCACATTCAAATCTAACAGTCTAAATTCATTCTCATATTTCCTAAAAAAACTTCTTCCAATGAGAAATGAGAACGATCTTACAAGATGCACATTGATATTTAAAATGATAGAAAAAGTTGAGAGGTCGTTTGGTAACACTGTTTTCGGCTTATCAAACTTATCAATTTTTTCATTAAACACATAATTTTTGCTTTTACGTGCTGAATTCTGTAATAATAAGAAAATGTAAGGTTGAAGTTATTTTTTTGGTTGTATTGGCAGAAGTTACTGTAGATGAGCATTTACGATATTTTTACATATAATTTTTTCTTTATTTTATTGATAAAATATAATTTAAAACTAGATTTTCTTAAATCAGCAGAATCAGTCAATGCAAGCATTTCAGCAAGAACTTCATAAATTTTAGCAGAATCAGCCAAATCAGCCAATTTTCGTGTTACCAAATGGACTCTGAATTTATTTCTGTTTCATATAATGCATAACTTCCAAATATAACGAACTTGATCCAAATGATATACTACGTACTTCGTATATGTTATGGATCAACTAAAAACCATGTTTCTCATGGAAGCTATAAACGGTTGCAGTTTTTCGCAACGGGATACACTATTAAGAAGCTGTTCTTTTAGCAATGGCTTTTTCTAATTTTTGTAAAACATTATACCATAATTCCCACGTTATGATAACATAATGTTTTACAAAGATAAGAAAATAACTTGGAATAACTGATCATAAATCGGTCAGGGACCAGTGAATGAAGATGAGGTGCAAATGTTGGATTATTCATGAATAATTAAAAGGTGGGACTATTGTAAGAAGATCGCTAAAATGTTGAATTATGTGCAAGAGTTTTATATTGCTTCGTTTATTTTCAAATATTTATATTATTATTAAAAAGTTTATTAATATCACTACTACTACTTATTATTATTATTATTGTTATTATTATTATTATTATTATTATTATTATTACTACTACTACTACTACTGTTATTATTATTATAATTATTATTATTATTATTATTATCATTATTATTATTTTTGTTGTTGTTGTTACGGAGTATTATTTTTATTATACTTATTAAATAATAATAATAATAGTTATTATTACTATTATAATTATTATGGATATTATTATTGTTATTGTTATTGTTAGTATTCTTATTATTATATACCAATTTAGAAAGTTAAGATCAGATCAGAGGGATTCGGATCAGATCAGAAACATTCAGATCAGATCAGAAACATTCAGATCAGACCAGACAGATTCAGATCAGATCAGAAACATTCAGATCAGATCAGACATATTCGGATCAGATCAGATCAGAAAGATTCAAATCAGATCAGATCAGATCAGAAAAATTCAGATCAGATCAGAACTTAAAAAACTTAGATCAGAAACATTCAGATCACGTGAAGCGAACAACTTCTAAGTTTCTATACTACACTTTTCACATTTACTAAAAACTCTGACATATTTCCC